TGTAAAGGAAGTATTATCTGGATTTTTATACTCAGATTGCAATAGTATCAGGAAAATCACATTCAGCCTTTACAATGCAGAATGAGCGTGGCATGTTCAGAATTGAGAAGTTACTTTGTGATTAGAAATTGTAAAGTATGTAATTAAGTGCAAGTGTTCTTCCTACTAGATTCTTGAGTCACAGTGGGCTGGCAGACAGGGAAAGCTGGAATAGAGGCATAGGAGTAGCTGAGTGTTTATGGCCGGAACTGGATCATATGCTTAGGGGAATAGTGGTCATGTGACTTAGCCATGTTTTCCTAGGAGGGATTGTCATATGGTTGTCCAGAATGGGGAGGGGCTGTCTACTAGGGCTGTATGAAATTTTGACATGTGTTTCATTTTGATGCTGTTTCAAGCTCGAAACCCAGTGCACAGATGCAGGGGCCCGCGCCCCCCCAGGAAGACCTGGGGGAATGATCAGAGAGCTGGATAATCGAACCAGGGGCTGGGGGAATATTTAGGTCCTTGAACATTGCCCCAGTTCCCAGTTTGGTTCCCCAGCTCCCCAATTATTCCCCTAGCTCTCTGATAGCTTCCCCCAGATCTTCCTGGGGAGTGGGGGGAGGGGGGGATGCAGGCCCCCAGATGATGCAAGATAACAGCAGACTGATACTGCCAGCTGGGGATGGTGGTGACTCTTGGGCTATCTCCCCAGCTGGCAGCAGCAGCCTTCTGAAAGCGCACACAAAGATCAGGGGGCCGTGCACCCTGGGAAGAGCTGGGGAAATGATCAGAGAGCTGGGGAATCGAACTGGGAGCTCTGGCTAACACATGGAGCCCCCCCAGCTCCAGGACAGTACACGGTGCCCTGCCAAGCCACACTGCACCTGCGCCATGGGGCAGCTGCCATGTGGCTGCCAGGCAAGGGGGATGATCCCTGCTGCCCCGCGCTGCATGGGGAGGGTCTGCCATGAGGCCTCAGAGGCCCCAGTCACTGCTGCCAGAGCCGGTGAGTGCAGGGCTTTTTTTTTTTTTTTAAAGCTCCTCACTCACTAGCGGCAGAGCATGCAGGTGATGGCATGCTGCTGCTATCTAGGGCAAGCTCCAGCACCCAAGTCTGCCAGTGCAGCCTGTGCCAAGAAGAACCCAGTGCTAGCACTGGCCCCAGGTGGCAGCGGCAGCCTGCTATCATCCTGCATGCAGATCCAGGGGTCCATGCCCCCTGCGAGGGCTGTGGGGTTGTGCCAGACTCCTCCTGGGGGGAGCAGGCTCCCAGATCTGCGTGTGGGATGACAGCATGCTGCTGCTGCCAACAAGTGATGAGTTTTGCTTGGAACAGTCTGAGATGCAGTTTCACAAAACTCTTTGCACCTATCTCCTTGAAATGTGGCAGGCTTCATGCCCTCAGAATGTAATTTTCATCTGAATCAGACAAGCAGTGACGAAGTTATAGGTAGTTATGTGATTCCCCATTGTAGCCTATGGGCAAAACGTAAGACTGCATCAAAACAGCGTTGAAACAACAAAACAGTTTTGACGAAACGAAACAGAACAGTGCTTCAAAACAGTGAAACGAAACACTGTCCCTTCGAAACAGCGAAATGGAAGTCAAAACAAAATGGTACTGTTTTGCACAGCCCTGTCTACGCACAGAGTTGCATTGATTTAAACGAAAGATGCAATTCTGCTGAAGTTAAGTGCAAAGGCAGAACAAATGCTTATTTCAAGCTAAACTAAACTAAACTAGAAACAGGTTCAAATTAATCCAGAATAAGGAAGATCATGCCTTTGTACCCACTTATGTAAAGCATTGCTAATTCAACAGCACGGCTTAATTGCCTGGGGCAGGCTGTGTGTTTGAAGAGAGTCCAAGGCCCCTTTCAGTGCAATGGGTGAAGAGATAAATGGAGAGATAGGGTTGGCTTCTGAGAAACTGGCACAAGTTGCAGTCTCTTTCAGCCCTTCAAACCTACCACATACTGACATGGGACTGGGTTTTTTTCCTACTATGACTTTATTTAAGTGTCTGCACTATAGTCACTGCCCAAGCCAACTTTAAACATACAAGTGTGGGTACTGGTAGCAATTTAGCCATGACATCACCAAACTATCTTGCTATGCCCTTGTGACTGTAGTGTACTTTAAGAATAAGAGAGCCAATGAACTCTTAAAACAATAGAACAGGGAAGGGGAAATTAATGTAAACAGGTCAAAAGTGACCAGAATGTTGAAGTGATTCTTAAAATCTGTATTTAACGGGCACAATAGAAATTTGAGCCATCAAGACTTAAAAATAATGTTAAAGAGCCATATAGGGAATATAGGGAAATTTTCTAGCGCCCTGGTCCACATGATGTGAATTCTAGTGCATCAAGCTGCTGAACTTTACCACTGATAATCTATTTAAAAAAAAACAAGAAAAACTGGGGAGGAAAGAGATGAAAAGCAAAATGCAGTATCATTTTTAGAAAGAAAAAGAGTAAGAGAGTCTGTCTGTCACTGAAGCAGCTTAATTTTTACCCTTAGTCAAAGGAAGAAGGATCATAAGGGAAATAAACATATAGCTACCTAATGAATAATGGAATTATGAATATATTAAAAGTCTTGCAACAAACTTAACTACTTTTGCTTTAATAGAGTTATCTAAATATTTAAAAAAGACAGCCAGATTTCATATCTGGCACCAAGTGAAGCACCTGCATCAGTTTATCTCAAAATTTACTTTCAACATTAACAACAATTGGCTAGAAACAGAGTGAAAACTGGCTGGAGGACTATAAACAAAGGCCAACAGTACATATGGCTGTATCCAGTTTGGGGCCCAGATAAGGGAAATTGCTTGAGGGAAACTGCAGGCATAGTTGATTTTTCAGATCAAAATTATATAGGACACAATTCTCTGAACAAGCAGGAAATCCAAGAGGAACCATCTCCCCAAAGGACTGGTCAACAATTTTCTGCCTAAAGTCTAAACCATTTTGATAGAAAGTTGGGATTTGAACTAAACACATTTTTGCATGAGATTATGTCTGCTTTTAAGCTGAAGGTTCACACATTTTGTTGAACAGCTATGAAGTGACTGCCCAGAGGAGTTTTCCATCTATTGACTTCTTTGTGAAATCCTATGAAATATGAACTTTCATTTCTACCCAGGAGAACTTTTACAGTCTTTTCTCCAATGCCTGTTGAAGGGTGTTAGTGCCCAAAAGCTTGTAATTAAAGATTTTTATTTTTTTTTGCAAAAATCTTGTCGGTCTAATAACAGATATGATCTCTACTACAAGTCCTGATCACATTTTGTTGAAAAACTTAATACCAAAATACTGAAGACTTTTTAAAACCTCAAATCCTTTGATACAACGTGATGGTACAGTGCCTCAGGGCAGATTTAATTAGAAGGTCCAATGGTTCAGTTCCCCTCTAGGTGCTATAATCTCAGACCAGACTCCCTCTTTCTATGCACTTCCCCCCAAAACATGCCTATTACATGCCTCTTCCTTTTACTGGAAAGGGGGAGTATGTTGCATCATGGGAGATGTAGTCTGGCCTCAGGGCCCAGCCATTAGAGAAGAATGGAAGCAAAGGTGGCCATAACAAATTGCTAGAAAAAATACAGCTATCTGGTTAACATCTTTTTTTCTTATTATTTGGAAAATATATAGCATGTATTTATGATGCATCACAAACATGTTGTGATGCAATATTCCTGGCAAGTAGCTCAATATAACACAGAGAAGCAGCTGCATCCGAAGTATCAAAGGGATTGCTTTCAAGTTAGCTGACAGACATATAAATCACACAGTTTATTTAATTTATGTCACACAGCTGTACAGGACACTTGGGTGGTTGCCCAAGACAGGACAAAGGTCAGAAAATCACAAATGTTTTAGGCAAAAGGGAGCTGTTGGCAACTGCTTCTGCAGATAATGAGTTAGGTCTGTTCTTATTCAACATCTTCATTAAAAATATAAAAATAATCTATTTGGATTCAGACAAGTAAACAAAAGCATCCTGTGACTACATTGAGTTGATACTTTTGGATTATACTAAATTGGTGGCATTGCAGTAAAACAGAAAAGTGCAAAGGCACCAAACAAGACTAGAAAATAAATTCAGTTGTGGGAAAACCCGGACTAATAAGACTGTTGGATAAGTAACCTCAAGCAGAGCTTTTGAGGGTGAAAGAAGATTTAAAGTACCACTAAAGGGGTGCATCTACAGATGCTAATTAGTGCATCACGGTAAAAGACACACTCATGTGCTAATGCACAGTACGATTAATCTACTGTGTATCAGCATCACCTAAAATGTGCTGGTGCTACTGCACAGTATTGCTGATTATGGTATATTTAGTACTTGTTATTACCAATACTAACTTAATTTGCTGTAATTACAGCACATTAATGCATGTGTAAATGTGCCCAAAGAGTCTTATAAGACATCACCATATAGGACATATTGAGCCACATGATTGGGCCACACTGAGCTTACTTTAAGCCATCTGCTTGTAGATTGGGAGTGGCTTGGGCATACATTTACTGGTGCTGGGAGCCAGACTGGATCTAAGAAATGTAGAGCTATCAGGTGTAGGAGAGTTGTCTATCTGGGATATGGAAGTGAGGGAGCTAAAAATAGCCCAGTCAGGGTTGGTGGGGTAGGAAGAGTGCAGCCTCAGGGCTGAAGCAAGCAGCTGGGCTTTCCCAGCCCCAGGGCTGCTTTCTGAACATGTGCAGATGTATGGTAGATCAGGGTAACCTGTTCCCAATCTAACTTAGTTCATCTCTTCAGGTGAACTAATTTAAATTGGGCCAGCCATTTTTTGCCTGATTTAACTCCCCCAAATGTCTCCACAGATCATCACTTAGATCAGCCTAACCCTAGTTAGATGGAGCTAAATGTAACATCTGCACATATCCATTCTGTTTTATCTTAGTTCTTATACCTCCTCCTCATCCCTGCTTTCCACTACTAGGTGAAAGCAGCACAACATGTAATATGTGATTCTTTTTCACTCTTACCTGGGGAAGAACTTTGTAGTTTGATACGGCTTTTAGGCACGCAATGTCTTTGAGAGAAGGCAGATCAAAGAAACATGCTTTGCACTGGGAACAGAAAGTGGAAGAGCCTGTGATCATCTTTGGTTCCAGTGGGAGTTCATACTGTGGTCTTACTCCTGCCTTGAGGAAAGCTGTCTTTCCTTGCACATAGGAATTTTCCCCCTTGTGGTAGAAAGTTCCAGGGCAATGGGAAGGAAACTAAAATCTCACCATATATTGTAAAACAGTCAAACAGGAGAATGAGTATATACAGTGTTATCTCCTCTAATCATTTTGCATCCTGCATTGTTGTAAATGGTTTTGAGTGTCATGCTTTTTCTTCTCTCTTTTAAGGAATCTTTGCAGGATGCAAAAAACTGCAAACATGGATTAAATGTAGTACATAACCATAAACGGGTTGTACTTACATATTTGTTTCTTGTGTGCAACGTTGCAAACAAGTGTTGGCCTTTAGTTTGTCCATGGGCTGGTAATTAATGAACATTTGTTTTTAATGACATACAGTTGCTACTTGATATTTGTAAGTGGGATTTCCCCCAGTGCCCTCATTTCTTTTGCAGATTCCTTTCTGAGAGCATTAGTAATAGCTCAGTGAACCTATTACATGAATAATCAAAGTTTTTCAAAATAGCGGTGAGAACAGTACCAGTGAAAATACCTTTATAAATGTTTATTTATGCAAATGTGTGTGATCTACTGACTTTCTGTGATCATCCTTGTTGCAAACAACAGAGATGACAATTACCACTGATGCAGATGAGTAGATTTCAGCAATAAGAATATTTGCTAACATTTTTGCAGCACTTGGCCAAATGCATATTGGATTCTACCTTCTCCCAGGCGTTAACCCCTTTCTTCCTACTCCATTGCAGGTCAGCAAAAGAGACTCGCAGCACCCAGCACTCCAGACCTTCCACACTTTGTTCAGATCCTTATAAAAAAAATGCAGTATCAACTCATGGCTATGTCAGCTCTCCTCCCCACTTTTATCCTCCCAAACAGACCTTTTCAGAGAAATGTGCAAACATATGCTCAACAAGAGGTATTGTAACTTTTTTTGCTTGCCATCTGCTTTCTTCTTTACACTTTTCCAATCATACATCCCAATTCATAAGCAAAGCTAATAGAGGCAAAAGAGGGTGGGAAGATTACTTTTTAAGTGGCAAAGCTGCAACTCAGTTATTGGTCTCAAATATCTAAAGATCAGATTTACAGGAGTATTTTGGTACCTAAGGAGACAAATAGAAGTCTAGAGAGATTCAAAGACACACTTAAATTAGACACACTCCCATTGACTTTCCAAGGCAAGTCAGGTGTTTATGAGATTTACAAACGCACCTACATTTTCACCTTTTAGTGCTTAAATCTGTTTCTAAACCTCTATGCTACTTTCTGCTAGGTTCCACATACCATTTATGAACTTGTAGCATAATCTACCCTTGCCTTAACAAGCTAGCTTCAAATTTAAATATTCTTAGAGGTAGTACTATTTTAGGAGCATGAATTAAAATGAGGCAGCTCTAAGCAGAAATTCTTGGAGGAGGTTTCTTCTGTAATTATCTTAGAGAAACTCTCTTATCTCCTGTCTGTAGAGAGGGAATTCAACAAGCAGAGGAATGAATGTTAATGGTGAAAGAAAGTTATCTGTAGATACTCCATAAATTATCCCATTAAAAGGTTAACTACAAAGCAAAAAACATCTATTTGAAATAGCCCTGTATGCTCTTCACAACTGAAAGCTTGTTTAAAAACTATATCCTTTGCCAGCATCACTCAGTGTCCTCACCTCCTCAGTAGTGGTGAGTGCTGCAGTAAAAATTCTCTCACCATCAGGTATGGGGGTGCTAGTTAGATGCTCCAGAGGGGCTGCCAGAGTTCCCTAGCAAAGAAAGGCAAACAAAGGCCTCATTTCAGATATGTAATAGTAAGTCAAAAGATTTGATAGACATATGTAGGGACATTTTTTGTATATCATAACAGAATAGTAAACATTGGATATGTCTACACATGCGCTTTAATGCTTAGTAGCCTATTTTACTTTGCATTAGTGTCACATAAAAAACCATGCAATTACATTAATGTGCAGTAAATAGTCTGCGGCACATTAAGTGCCACTTTAAAAATGTGCACTTTTGGTACTACGCATTAGGGCAGCCTAATGCGCATTTATTTAGTACCACACATTGGAGGTACTAAATTTAATGCTCATTAATGCATGTGTAGATGCGCCCATTGTGTCTGCTTTGTGACTCTTTTTAGGGCCTTGTTACATGGTATCCTTAGGTGGCTGCTGGAGCTCTTAACCCCTGGACTAGCTGCACATTAACACCTTTTATGGGGCTTAAAGCACTTGTTATTCGGCTTAATGTTACGCCAGTCCAGGGCAGGGTTACCTCTAATCTGCTTAATTCTGCTCCTGTTCCATTAACTTGTGGCCACTATCCACAGCTTTTGCACCCAAGCTGAAGTCCTCCAGGATTTCAGGAGGCAGTGGGAAGGCAGGGAGGCTGGGGCATAGTGCCTCACCAGGAGGAGAGTGAGCCAGTTGGAGTGGGCACCACCTCTCTGCCACCAGCTCTGTTCCCACCTTGGCTCTGGGAGCAGAGCCAGCCAGTCCAAGCAGTGGGGAGCCGAGGCAGTGAGTGGTGGTGGGGAGGTGGTGTCCCTCACCCTATCCCCTCCCACTTGGACTGACTGGCTCTGCTCCCAGAGCTGAGCTGGGAGCAGAGCTGGTATGAGCAGGAGTGGGGAGGAGGTGCCCTGCCTCTCCACCTCCCTGCTTGGACTGGCTCTTTGCAGCATTTGCTCTGCCTGGCAGGAGCAGTGAGAATATCCTTCCCCTAGCTCCTAGTCCTGACCCTGCCCACCAAGCCTCTAGTGGCAAATCACAGCCGTGCAGGTGAGGGGCAGTCAGAGCATATTTTTTGCCATCCCATGCAACTGCTCTACCAAGCCAAACAGCTCTAAGCTGATTAACATTTGTTCCGTTTATGGGATACGGTCTAACAAGGCCCTTACATAGGTAAATAAATATTGTTAAAATGATCTTGAACTTCTTTCTGTTATGAAATGTATTGTAACTACATACTGTACTTTCACATCTACACCATGGCCTGGAATAAGATATGCACCTTGTTTTTGAAAAGCGGAATAAAGAAAAAAAGCTCTGTCTTCATAGTAGCTGAGTAGCAGGAGCTAGGGAGCCAACTCTGCTGACTGTTCTGTTCAGATCATCTGCAGAGTTGCTTTCACTTGCACTCCACAGAAACCCAAGCAGCAGAAACCACTATAACTGTATTTCCTCACTTACAATTCACACTCTGCATTCTAGAAGCTGGTTTTTAGGAAAAAGGTGTGGGCTGTATGCTAGAAAATAAGTCTGAATGGCAAATGAAACCATATTCTTTAGGTCAGGAGTTCCCAACCTTTTAAGATTGCAGACCAGTAAACCGTGGCCCAGAAGTGACCACAGACCGGCAAAACTACAGTCCAGAAGCGACCAGCATACTGTGGAGCAGAAGGCAACCCTTTTTCATACTCAGTATGAAAAAGAGTTGGCTGCCGGTCTGCAGTATGCCAGTCACTTCTGGACTTCCAGTCCGGTAGCCAAGCATCCTGTGGACCAGCAGCCAGTCCTTCGCAGCATGGTACCGGGCTGCAGTATGGCAGTTGGGATCCTCTGCTTTAATTTATAAAGCATTGGAATTAGCGTTAAAAAAAATGCACTGATTTTTTTACACAGTTACAAGAATTTTCCCCATGATAAAAATGTACCAGCAATTCTTTTTTCAATTATATTGAATTATTTTAGTTTTATCTTAGAAGCCTTAAAACCCAACACATTGAAGCTTTAAAAATAAGGTGTAGAGTCATTTTTTATGTTCCCATTTCACCAGCTGCTTGGGCTGACGATCTGGTTAGTTTGCTTTTCGTTACTAATATTTAAGACAAAAACAGCCAAGACATTCAATAACTTACTGGTTATTGGTACATCTGTATGGCATAACTACCTTCAATGCCATAACTTGGAATATATTTCCCCAAAGAGGGTTGCTGAGCCATTCCAGAAAAAACAGGAAATCAGAAAAAAAATTAGTATAGAAAACTAACTTGCATTTCCTTTTTTTACTATTTTGAATCTTAAGACTTGTTTTTAGCTCTCTGTAAAGAAACCAAAGGTGAAAGAAGTGCGTGAGCTGTTATGAAACTGGTCTTATGATCTATACTATTTTTCCATCATAATTTTGGCAACTGCCAAGCTTCAGCAGAGTTTCCTAGAATTGTTTTCTAGATTCCTTATTCCCTGCAGTCCTAGACCAAGTTTTACAAACCAAAAAATACAGAGAAAGTTTAATATAAAATCAGTTATGGGTATGCTACCGTGTAATACAAGCATGAAAAAAATCCTTGAAATGTCCTTTTTTTTTTTTTTTTTTTTTTTTTTTTTTTTTTTTTTTTTTTTTTTTTTTTTTTTTTTTTTTTACAAATCTACAAGCTTGGCTTGTTGTGTTCTATTCTTGGCCTGTAACATACCACCAATTGGCTTAAACAAATATTTCGAATCATGTTTCCAAATAGATGACAGCTCCTTTACAACTCTTGGGTCATGAATACATCTTGGTGAATGACTACACACACACACACACTAAATCTATATTAATACATGCAGGCCATCCTAAGGAACAAGGCAGCATTATGACATGGGTGGGGGTTGTTTTGTTTTTTTTTTATGCATAGTTGTGTTAAAAACTAGAACTTCTATTCAATTTACGTATTCACTTACGTGACTAAACTTAAAGGTAATCTAACAAACGAGACTCAGTTTAGGTCCTTATCTCATGAACTAATGCCACGATTGCAACATGTCAAGACCCAGAGAATTATGATCGCTCTGTTGTACCTCCCTCCCCAACTCTGAAATAAACTCAATTCTGTCAAGGGTGCCACAATATCTTCTCTATGACATTACCTTTCCTGAGCAACACCTGAGAAGGGAACTTAAATTTATTGGATTTATACCACTTTCTGCTCTCACTGTACTCCCTTCTTTGACTTCTGTCCTGTTTAGCCAGCTAGGATAAGTCTAACCTCTACACCAATGGTTCTCAACCCTCTTAGGCTCAAGGCACCCATCAGAAAATGCCCATTCTTAGCTTTCATTCATTTCTTAACTACAGAAAAATAATAGACGATTCTTCTGTTACAAAGAACTGAGACCTCAACAAGTCAGAATGTTTTTGATGCTATGGATTTCTACTTGAAATCTCTGGGCTTATTTTATGACTCACATGTAGATGTTTGTATACCTAACAATGCTAATATAGAGTGACATCCCAGTAGAGAATCACTGCTCTACACACACTGTGGTAGGCTGACCAGCTAAAAGGACCCAACAGGATGCTCTTAGTGACATTCTTTAGCCCTGCCTTCTGCTTCTTCATCTTGGATGGAACTTTTCCTTTCCTTATCCTCTGCTTGGATATGGGAAGCCAGAATCTTTTTTTTCCATTGTGCTTTGTATTTTCAGCTCTTGATGCCTCCTACTGAGATTTATTGATGTTTGCAGAGGCAGTAATTTTCCTGTACAACACCTTCCCCTTGATCCTTGCAAGCTATTTTCTCTATTATCTTCTCCCAAGATGTCAGAAAGACTGTACAAATATCTCTTAAACTGAAATCTTATGACTTCAAATTTTATTTTTACTGCAGAGATTTGATCACAATATTGGTTGTAGTACACTATTTGCTACTACACTATTTGCTTACAATATTGAACTGTGCCATATTGATGTTGTATTATTTATAGAAATGACACCAGGCCTTACCAACCTCCTTAAAACTGTAAAGGTATCAAAACATTATATCTGTGTCAATAGGCCTGTTTTTCATAGTGCTTTTATTAAACTGTCAAGTGAAATAATCAAATGGAAGTATAACAAATTATAACCAATCATGTAAACCTACAATGGATCATATTTATACTGAAACAGCATGCATGGCAACAGTTATTACTCTTAAAACTGTTTTTCCAATAAGCTTGCAGGCCTCCATTTTCAACTTCGCTATTAAGAATAGCTATTGCTAGCACCAGGGGATTACTGCCATAGAAATTCATTACTAATCAGTACCAATGTTATTAAAAAAAAGTATCAATAAACCCACAGATTTGGTGCAGAGGAGAAAAATATTTAGTAGTAGGAGCCACTGATACCATTTATCATAAAGGATCAATATTTGATGACAACATATAGGAGTATGCTGGATTGTTTAAAGTGAAAATAAACAAAACTAAATTAAAAAAAAAAAAGAAAAAGACCTTACAAATATCCTCCAAAAGGAAAAATCAGTTCTTTACATCTTAGGGACAATATTCACTTCAAAGAAAGTTATACCTAATTTTTTAAAAATCTGCTGTCATTAAAGTTAACAGTCAAGATCACTGTAACTGGAAGCATCTCTAAGCTTCTCAGTACTCTGTTATGCTTTCTGGATTTTATAGTAAGCTGTTGATAATTGTGTACTCTCTGAATAGGTAGGTACATCTTTTTGCAGTGCCTTCTGCCTCACAGAAGTGAAGGAACAATTTTGGGGTCAGGGGACAGAGGAAATTAAATGCAAAACTTTTGGCCAGAGGGGATCTGAGGCAGCTGTAACATCAAGACTGATTTCTCTCTCTCTCTTTTTTTTTTTTTTTTTTTAAATGACTTGACTTCAAACTGCTAGTACCGAAGAATCCTATAGGCTATGTACAGGCATTCAGAAGCCCAGTGGCAACATGTTGGGGGAGCACAGGGGTGCACGTGCATTCCCTGAGAGCGCCGGTGCACCCCCTGACTGGCTATGCTTGCCACTTAGGCGATGGGTGGGGGGGGCAGGTGCGAGCGCCAGTGCCCCCACTGTAAGTGCTGGCCGATCGCTGCAGCCACTCCCAGAAGCGGCCTCAGCCGCTCCTAGAAGCAGCTGCAGCGATTGGCCTTTGTGGGATTGGCTGTAGGGGTCCCCCCAGGCAGCAAGATTGGCCGCGAG